TGCATGTGAATCAAATCTATGTCTCTGTAGCAGTTTGAACATAGCTACATGCATGTGAATCAGACCTATGTCTCTGTAGCAGTTTGAACATAGCTTCATGCATGTGAATCAGACCTATGTCTCTGTAGCAGTTTGAACATAGCTACATGCATGTGAATCAGAAGTATGTCTCTGTAGCAGTTTGAACACATATAGTTACATGCATGTGATTCAGATCTATGTCTCTGTAGCAGTTTGAACATAGCTACATGCATGTGAATCAGATCTATGTTTCTGTAGCAATTTTCATCACTTGCATTATTTTACATTACCAGTTTTCATTGTTTTGTTGGAGAGCTTAAATGTGTATTTTAGTATCGATCTAATAAGGGTTCCGCTTGTAACAATACACTCTAGTGATTTTATTGGACAAAAGAGTCCAATAATAACTAACAAGTAATATATGAATATTAATGATCAGACTGCGAGTCGCTCAGTCCTTCATAATTTTGTGTTCCGCATTATACATGCTCAATGACTATGTCTTGCAAGAAAATCGTCCGTTCTGTATGCATAAATAATGTAGGTATCCAACAGATATATATATTAGTTCAAAGTGACATTTGCAATTTGAAAATATGTATCAACTCGAACAATTTGTTTAGCTCGCAATAAATTATGCCATTTTTCATCTGTCCATCATTTCGATATTATAAAAGAATATAAAATAGATACACAATAAATAAAACCATATAAAATAGATACACAATAAATAAAACCAGACTATGTTGCTTATCCAATAATCCAGAAAGAAATTCTTGGATCGCCATTCCAAAAGATTACCATTACCAGCAAATAGGAATATATCGTAAATAATTGTACCATTGAGAATTAAAACGAAGAGATTAAAAAAATAATTTACCGCCTGCTCAATTTATTACTACAGTATATACATTTCAATAGCCTAAATGTAAGTGAAAAAGATAAAACTTCGAATATTAATTTCATGTTTCTGAATGATAAATAGAAATTCGTATTTTTTAGCTTTACGGACAAAGAAATACTGTTTGCACAATTTAGAATTTAGCGCTGTGTAAATGTCTAAAGATAATGTCAGAGAATCATTTTGCTTGCAAGGTAAGATCAAACTGACTGCATCACTTTCTGTGTGCCACTTATATTAGTCTTGTCCTGTTGCTTTAAAGGAAGTACACATTTTTATATAGGCGGTAACTATGATTCCAGACTTATTGAAGTAGTTTGAATGAAGAACACTTCTGGCATAATTTTAGGTACAGCACTTTGCTCATCACAAACAGTTTCTGCAAAATGTCTCGCTATATTTACACCAATACAACATTAATTTCTCAGTATTTCAATTTTCTTTTCTAGTGAACAGTGCAGCAGGAATTAAATTTGACTTGTAGATAGTACTTTGAATGTGAGAACCATAAGGCCCACGTAATCATTTTTTACTTCCTTTTAACTTGTTTATCAATCCTAGATAATGGAAAACTGGTTGACTGTCTTGGGGGAAAATATGAACTCTTTTAACGTAAAATAAATTTTAGAATCAAATATTCTAAAATGGTCTTAACATCGAATTAAGATATAAATGTAGGTGTCAATCTTAAAGTACACATCAGTTCTGATTTTACAGTACATAGACAAGTCTGAAACGTAAATGTAATAATCAGAAGTAATCTGCTTGACATTTTCACTTGCATTCAATTTGTCTTTTTCTTAATAATTAATGTAGAAGCTAGGAAAATGTTGTGTATATCTTATATGAAACGGAACAATACATCCATCTGTTCGTTTACAGAATAGTTATGAGGTTTATATATTAACTCGTAATCATCATATAACTTATACAATAAACATGACATAAAACAGAAAAAATGGATAATACTAGATGTGCAATTAACTTCTGATCTCCGAACAAACCGTCCATGTAAAGTACTTTATATATAACAGTTGATACAAAGATCATTTGAGACTAGTTACATTATTTTCTCAGCTTATACAAACCAAGATAAACAAGGATTTCCGTGATAGATGGTAGCCATTAAACAAATAATTAATCTTCACAAGTACAAGATAGGCCTTTAATTATAAAATAACTACTCAAGAATTCGAATGTCGAAAAATATTCAATAAGAAACCGAATAACACATATAGCTCGTGGGTTAATACGAATTGTTTGTCGGTCACTATAGTTGAATATCTTTCTATTTTGATTAAAATTGCCACACGACTCCTTTTTGGGGCAATTGGCTTTAAAGAAAGTTTTTTACTCGTTTAGGATTTTTTGGCTATCATTTTGAAAACTATAATATTACAGTAGTAGATTTTGGGACCCTTTTACGGAAAAATAACAAGCAACACATAAAAGTTTAACGGCCAAGGTCGTTAGTCGACTTCTAACACATGTTTTTGCACTTCAATGACAATTTTTACCCATCTTTTATTTTGGGTTTACATATACACGAGTCTATTTACGAAATTCACATTTAGAAATACTAAGATTTAAAAACCAGAAAATGATTATTTTTTACATTTTGAAAGTTTGATACTTAGACGTAGCGAGTTCCAAAAAAACAGCCTAGGATCATTCGTTGCCATTATGAAAATTGTGTGTCTAAATTTTGAATAAGTGACCAACTTGTTTATACTAGGAACCCAACGTTTTGAACTTGGTATAAAAATGGGAACATGCTAAGAATTTATCAATGTCAAATAACAATCACACCAAAGATAAACTACAACTGACTTGGTCTTAACTCATCATTCAAATCTTCACTGTACTTGATACTACTCTCATGTAAGAGATAAAACGTATAGTCAAGTACTTGACATTCCAATGGAGTGTGTCCCTAATATTGTATATGGATTCCTTTATTTTATGGATTACAATATAAGGTCGAAACTTCATACAAGCAAAACGAAATAAAAATATGGTTAAATAATAATATACAACGTCAATTTCTCTTCTCCGAATATATTTATAATACACATGAAATTAACATAACAAAGATCAACGTTAAAAATTACCCTGTGTCCATTTCTTAACTTAATATCATATTTTCAGCGGAAATATTCATACAATAAATTCAGAAACTAGTACGACTTTTCCTTTCAAACTGTTTATTTTATTGTTCATTCCTAGATTAATGCATTCCGTTGGATTCCTTTTAAGGGAGTGTACATTTTGCGTACATTTTCCAGATGGGTAGATATACATATGCATGAAGTGACGTTTAAGATTTCAATGAACATAATATTTTCATTATAAAAACAAAATCATAAAAGGGTTATAAATATCATAAGTTGGGATAAAATGTAACAAAATTTTAGTACATACTAGTATGTAGACAAATTTAATGGATGCCATTGTGTTACTCCACTTGCAAGAATTCAAAAAAGGTGGTACTTGCACTAATCATTTTATCGGAATTTTTTCTTTATAAAGCTAACAAATTAAGAAAGTATCCTAAATGATGATCGTGTATTTCTTCATGATATTGCTGTATGAAATATATCCGATGTACAATCGTTGATGTTAAGAGTGTAGGATATCATGATTTAAATATCAGTAAATTAAGTACTTTGTGTTTGCTTTCATTACCTGTGATTATATCATTGATACGGAGTGTTTTACTTAAACAAAGTTAAGTGCTTTCTGAACTTATTTGCATTGTTTGTTTATTAATGTATTTTCTATAATTCGACTGAATGTTATTAAAAAAAACTACTTTTACCCGCCTAGTGTCTATGTATATGTCCCAAAATCAGAAATTTTGTCCGTGTTTGTCTTAAGTTATATCTTAAATATGAAAATAAGAAGATATGGTATAATTGCCAATGAGACAACCGTTCTAGAGACCAAATGACATAGTTAAGAACTATAGGCAACCGTGAGGTCTTCAACAATGAGCAAAACCCATAACGCACAGTCAGCTATAAAAGGCCCCGAAATGACAAATGTAAACAATTCAAACGAGAAAACTAATGACCTGATTTATATAGAAAATAATGAACGAAAAACAAATATGATATAAAGCAACGACAACCACTGAATTACATGCTCCTGACTTGGAACAGGCACATATAGAATGTGGCGGGGTTAAACTAGTTTGAAGGCGCCAACCCTACCCCTAACCCGGGACAGTGGTGTAACAGTACAACATAAGAACAAACTATAAAAATCAGTTGAAAAAGTCTTAAATCATCAGATAGATACAAAGCAGAAATACATCTAACAAAAACACAGACCGGACGTGGCAGGGTACTTATAGATCCCCACAACAACAAAAAAGAAGTTTGTTTTATTATAAGAAATTTTGTGTTTATTGCAGATTTAAAAGGTTAGACCAGAGGTCCATTACTATAGGTATCAACATCTAGTTAAATGTATTAACAACAAATGTCTATACTTTTACACATATTACAAATGCATTTTATTAAACACGAAATAGTGTTGAAGTGTAAATATCATTTTGAGGATTTTCTTAATTTGAATTTAAAACCTTAATCTAAATCATGTTTAAAGTATAAATATCATAGATAAAACATTGTCTTAATTTGAAATATGATTGTATTTGGGTCTTTTTTTTTAAATATGTATGTATCAAAATTATTACGAAAATCAAAACAAAGATCAAGATCTGGGAAACTAATTCAATTGTTCAACATGAGGTAGCAGATTACTACAAAAGTATTTTTGAATTGAATAGATGAGCCAGATCCGATTGTACTCTGGCAGTACTTTTTCTTGAATATCTGTTTAGTGTTTTGGTACAGAGTATAATTTTCTTATTCATCACATATTTTCTGTTATCGCTATTCTATCCTGGTTTTTCTAGACGTTTAGGAACCTCATATTTATCCCATCTTGAATTGTTACACCAATGTTTTCTTTTTTAATAGTGCATGCCTTTATCGTCATTTATCACATTTCTATACAGATAACAACTGTTAACAAGATTTGGGAGAATCAGTATCAAAAAGAAAATTCTTACCGTCATCTGGTGTCTTTACACAGCTCAATGAACTTTCCAGAAATGCTTTCAAATGAGGATTATTTGTCAAATCCGACATTGTTCATTTAAAATAGTCCAGTAATATATTTCCACAGTATTTATCCAGTTACAACATCTTCGTCCATTCTGTCAATTGCTGTCTCTGAAAAAGTGTCGGGAGTTTTATATGATAGCGATATTAATACATCTTATAGTCAATACTAGTTTCAATTAAATGTCAAATTAATGCTAACTTACCCGCTCATGTAAAACATTAGTTATACAATTTTAATATATCGGTTAGTAGAAATCTTCATTGTTTAATCATTTGATTTAAAATGCTTTATCAATGTTAGTTTTTCCGATCAATTTCATTCAACGGTAAAAGAATAAAAAGGTTTTCGTAATAAATATAAGGTATTTGTTTGGTCTGAACTTTTTGCGAAGTTCTTAATTTATAAAACAAATTCATTAACTTCAAATATTCTCACTATTTCCTTGTAATGAAGCCAAACTGATTTTAACACTAATTTACATCTCGATCAACAAAACTCTTTTTATCGACTGGTCAGAATCTTTAACTTGTCATCGTCAACTATTGATTTGCACAGGTTGTGATAGGGAGATCTCAATCTACATCAAGTCAATTTCACATGCAACAAAAATCAGCATTATTATATCCTGTTTGATATACAGGAAGTACATCCTATAGTGCTGTTATCATCAAAAGACTTGACCGCTGGCCAGCAAATTGCTTAATGACTCTGTTTATTTGCAGTCAACATAATTAATATAGATGTAAACATGCACATATTAATGTTGCTTCTGAAAACTTCTGTACTTTGATATGATTAATTAATGTATTTGATAACAAATAATAAAAACTAAATTGAGAAAATATACATAGCACATTAAAACGTAATTCACAACAGGATGTAAATTCAGTTTTTATTGACCATGAAATCTTTTTGATGAAGAAGTTTCACGACAACTTAAAAAGTGTAACAGGTATTTTCATTAGGCATAAGTATATCATCAATCATACATTAGTGTTTTCGAAAATCACTTATTAGTTTATATGATAGACATAGACTTAGTGATGGGTCTATAATGACATTTGACGCTTTAAATGTTATATATATCAAAGGTCACTGGGGCTGATTTAAAAGACGTAAACAGAAAAATAGGTACATCTCAACTCCAGATATTATAGCACGGCTCCAAGTGAACAAAGAAATAGGAACATCTCAACTCCAGAGATTATAACACGGCCCCCAGTAAACAAAGAAATAAGTGCATCTTAACTCTAGAGGTTATAGCATGGCCCCAAGTAAAAAGAAAATAGGTACATCTCAATTCTAGCGGTTACAACAGGGCCAGCAGTAAACCGAGAATATGTCCATCTAACTCTAGGTGTTCTAACACGGCCCAAAGTCAATAGAGAAATAGGTACATCTCAACTCTAGAGGTTATAACATGGCCCCCAGTAAACAAAGAATAGGTACATCTCAACTCTAGAGGTTATAACACGGACCCAAGTAAACAGAGAAATATGTGCATCTAACTCTAGGTGTTCTAACACGGTCCAAAGTAAACAGAGAAATAGGTACGTCTCAACTCTAGATGTTATAACATGGCCCCCAGTAAACAAAGAATATGTACATCTCAACTCTAGAGGTTATAACACGGCCCCAAGTAAACAGAGAATACGTACATCTCAACTCTAAAGGTTATAACATGGCCCAAGGAAACAGAGCAATGGGTAAATCTCAACTCTAGAGGTTAGAACATGGCCCTTAGTAAACAGGAAATGGGTACATCTCAACCAGTGATCTCAACTCTAGAGGTTATAACATGGCTCCCTGTAAACAGAGCAATGGTAAATCTCAACTCTAGAGGTGAGAACATGGCCCAAAGTAAACAGAAAATAGGTAAATCTCAACTCTAGAGGTTATAACATGGCCCCAGGAAACAAAGAAATATGTACATCTTAACTCTAGAGGTTGTAACATTGCCCCCAGCATACCGACAAATAGGTACATCTCAACTCTAGAGGTTATAACATGGCCCCCAAAGAAACAGACAAATAGGCACATGCCAACTCTAGAGGTTATAACATGGCCCCCAGTAAACATAAAAATAGGTACAGCTCAACTCTAGAGGTTACATGTATAACATGGTTCACAGTAAACAGAGAAAACGGTATATTTCAACTTTAGAGGTTATAACCTGGCCTTTCCATTCTCAATTTTATACTCTATATATATATAGTAAATAGAAAATAGGTACATCTCAACTCTAAAGGTTAGAACATGACCCCAAGTAAACAGAGAAAAGGTACATCTCAACTCTTAGAATTTATAGCATGACCCCCATTAAACAGAAAAATAGGTACATCTCAACTGTAGAAGTTTTAACATGGCCCACAGTAAACAGAGAAAAGGGTATATTTCAACTCTAGAAGTTATTACCTAGCCTCTATAAAATTTTGGTAAATAGAAAATAGGTACATCTCAACTCTAGCGGTTATAACATGCCCCCAGTAAACAGAGAAATAGGTACATTTCATCTCCAGAGATTATAACATGGCCCCCCAGTAAATAAAGAAATAGGGACATCTCAACTCCAGAGATTAACACGGCCCCCAGTACAGAAAGAAATGGGTACATCTTAACTCCTGATGTTATATCATAGCTCAAAGTAAAAAGAGAAATAGGTACATCTCAATTCTAGCGGTTATAACAGGGCCCGCAGTAAACAGAGAATATGTACATCTTAACGCTAGGCGTTATAACACGGTCCCAAGTAAACAGAGAAATAGATACATCTCATCTCAACTCTAGAGGTTATAACATGGCCCCAAGTAAACAAAAAATAGGTACATCTCAACTCTAGCGGTTATAACATGGCCCCCAGTAAACAAAGAATTTGTACATCTTAATTCTAGGCGTTATAACACGGCCCCAATTGAACAGAGAAATAGGTAAATCTCAACTCTAAAGGTTATAACATGGCCCCAAGTAAACAGAGAATAGGAACATCTCAACTCTAGAGATTGTAACATGGCCCCAAGTAAACAGACAAATAGGTTCATCTCAACTCTAGAGGTTACAATATGGCTCCCTGTAAACAGAGCAATGGGTAAATCTCAACTCTAGAGGTTAGAATTAACATGGCCCATAGTAAACAGAAAATATGTACATCTCAACTCTAGGGGTTGTAACATTGCCCCCAGCATACCGACAAATAGGTACATCTCAACTCTAGAGGTTATAACATGGCCTCTATATATGGTACATGTAAATAGAAAATAGGTACATCCCAACTGTAGAGGTTATAACACGGCACTCCGTAAACAGAACAATAGGCACATCTCTAATTTTGTATGCCAGACGTGCGTTTCGTCCACAAAAGACTCATCAGTGACGCTCGAATCAAAAAGTAAAAAAGGCCAAATAAAGTACGAAGTTTAAAAGCATTGAGAACTCAAAATTCCTAATTATGCTACTCAAATCACAGAATTGGTGTCGTACTATTACGAACTGCAACTTATGATTGAACTTCATACAGACTACGCGAATTTTCACTTAATGATGATTTAACAAATACATGCAATATTCAGTCGACATAATGTCTCTTGATAATCCAGTTTTTTTCTTTCTAAATGTAAAAATTAATGTGATTTTTCTGATTTACTTCTTTTAAAATTCACTGGTGTTAAACTGATCACTGTAACTGCAGTTACGGTGATCCCAACATGGCGGAGCCCAAAACAGGTAAAATCGTCATTTTGTAATTTCTCCGTGTACACGCATTGTTTTAATGAATTACTCAGCCGCTAGGTTGATATGTACGGTATTGTTGTATGTGTGTGAGATATTTTTGCCATATATAAGTATAGTGTGTACCTGCATTTACGGTGATCAGTTTAACACCAGTGAAATTACAGGTAAAAGGTTTGTTATCCTTTTTTTTACGTTAATAGAAATCTTCTCCCTGTAATGATCAACATCGAATTGTATTACAAACACGACTACTTGTCTTCTCCTTTCCTTGATCGTCACGTACCGTTCGTTCCTTTTTATCAAGTGTACATTCCTCATTCGATGTGTGCATGTTTCAATCAGTTTAATTGAGGTATTGAGCTTGCACGTCAGTAACTTCTAGTCGTCCTTTGCTAATTTATGTATCGTTGTCATTTTGCTTAGTTTCTTCTGTTACCTATTCTGACATCGGACTCGGACTTCTTTTAAAATGAGTTTTACAGGGCGTATTGTTGTGTGTTTGTTTATTCTACATTGGCTAGAGGTATAGGGGGAGGTTTGAGATCTCAGAAAACATGTTTAACCTCACCGCATTTTTGCGCCTGTCCCAAGTCAGGAACCTCTGGCCTTTGTTAGTCTTGTATGTTTTTTTTAATTTTAGTTCTATTATATATTTCGGAGTTTAGTGTGACGTCCATTTTCACTGAATTAGTACACATTTTTGTTTAGGGACAAGCTGAAGCCCGCCTCCGGGTGCGGGATTTTCTCGCTGCATGTGTTGAAGATACATTAGTGGCCTTGGGCTGTTTTCTTCTCTTTGGTCGGGGTATTGTCTCTTTGACATATTCCCCATTCCCATACTCAATTTTATGTTTGCACTGATATTTCGTTTGAACGTCAAACTAGTATTTCTCATAATAAAAGAAACTTTTAAAGCACGCAAACAGATGGAAATATGGTAAGGTTTTTTACAAAAAAAAATTAAAAAAAAACGTATAGAAGGAGTTATTGTGGTAATACATACATGAATGATCAATGTGCAAGAGTTTAATATGTAATGACATTTCACACCTTATTAATCAATGTTATACAAGTACTGCACGAATTGAGTAAACAATGACATACCACATCTTATTGATAAAGGTTATAAAGTATTGCAGGAATTGAATAAACAACCATAATGATTTTTAAATCTAATTGTTAAACGATGAAAAAAATCCTGCATTAATTTTACAAAACAATTGCATTTCACATCTTATAGTAGACGTGTTAGGAAAGGGGTTTAAATACTGCGCTGATGTTAAATACCAATACCGATACAAGATTTAAGTGTGAACTTTCTCAAAATGCTATTGCACTAAAAAGTATCCCGGCGTAGTATAATAGTTTACGTTTGTGGTGTTTGATACAATATAAAGCGAACAGTTAACGTCGACTCCCAATTTTAAGACGTGCATTGGCCTTACGTAGATCTTCATACATTCATACATTAATTTGTATTTGTTTAATTTAAGAGTGCAAAACAAAACTTAACAAAAATATATGTAAGAGTCAAGAATGGGAATGACGGATTCTACGGCCACAAGTCCAAATATATATATTAAGCGATATGATTAGAATATGTTTAATAGTTAAATAACTCAGTTTGTCACTCCACAATATATATGTCCTATTTCCGTTGCAAAATATAGTTAGCATGCATTTTGTGTCCAGGGATACAAGGACGCGTATATATGTGTGGCTTAAACAAATCAGTACTAATCTGAACACATCGTTATATCTATATATAAAAAAGTGGACACAAGTGGATACAGTGCTATTTCTATATAAAACTTTAAGAAGCAGGGGGCTACAGAAGAAGGTTGTCTTGCTGCGCATCGTTTTAATGTTCAAGAAAACCACTTTCCATGAGCTATATGTGATTCGTATTGTCTACTACTTTCTGGGTATGAATGCAATGAATGGACAGAGGGACGAAAGAACGGA